GGGCATGACGCTAAAAACCATGCTATTTACACTACAAAAAAACAGTTATATAGCGACGGAAAAATCCGTCGCAATTAAGAATTTACGACGGAATGCGACGGATTTATTTCCGTCGCTATAGCGCTGTCGTAAACGTATAACGGTCGTTAATCCGTCGCTTTTTTGCGACAGAAAAAATTTGCGTTTTGCGACGGAATGCGACGGATAATTCTGTCGCAAATTGCGACGGAATTTTTTCCGTCGCAAATGTTTTAAAAAATTTAAAAAATATATAAATAAATTATATACTATATATACACATACATATATACATTTTTACATACACATACACCTATATACACATACATTCATACACATACATTACACACATACAAATATACATACACATACATATATATACACATATATTTTCATATACACATTCATATATACACAAACACACATACACATTCACACATATACACATATACACACATATATACATATACATAAATACTCATATACATATACATTTCACAAACACATACACATATATATAAACACACACATATACACATATATTCATATACACATACAATCACATATACATACACATACATATTCACATTCACATACATATACACATACACATACATAAACACACACACATACACATTCACACATATATATACACATTCACTTACACACACATACACATACATAAACACACACACATACACATTCACACATACATACACATTCACTTACACACATACATAAACACATACAAACACATCTAACACACACATATATATACATAAATACATATATATTACCTTATGGGAGAAATTTGGCGACATTTGGAGAGATTTAGAAGAAATTTGGCGATTTTTAGTTTTTTTTCGGAAATCTTTGAAGTCTGATGAAGAAGACGACTCGTGGTTTTATATTGCGTTTTGCGACGGAATTTTCCGTCGCAATCCGTCACAAAATGAAATTAATTTACGCGCCCAAAATTCAAAAACTTTCGTCGAAAAACGAAACCAAATACATTGCGACGGAATATTCCGTCGCAATCCGTCGCAATTTTTATTTTTCGTCGCAAATCATCTATTTCTTTATTGTGACAGAATTATCCGTCGCAAACCGTAGCAAATTGCGACGGATTTTGCGACTGTTTGCGACGGATAATTTTTTTCCACATTCTGTCGTAAAATCGTCACATTTCGTCGCAATTTTCTCTGCGACGGAAATCTCCGTCGCAAATTCCGTCCCTATATGCAGGTTTTTTTGTAGTGTTAGGTAGACAACACTTTGTCAATCACATCCTATGTGATTCCTAGATGAGTATGGGATAGTGATACGCTATCACTGCATGTTCCTCATCCCATCCTTACCATTAGGTCCAAGTCCGACTTGATAACTCAATTCAAGCTCAACCATATTCGAGCTATGAGAATCACGATTTCTCCATACTGCCTCACCAAGATAGTCAGGCACGCTCAGCTAGGGCATGACCCGTAACCATGACGATCGAGGCCTTGACAGTTGCTCTACTAATGGGCGGTAATAGCTTGAGATTAAACATGAGGCTTCATTTGTCTTGAACACCAGGATACCTTGACCGAATTCAAGTCATTCCAGTCAAGTTGTTCTGATCAACTCAGATGAACTACTCTTAGTTCGTTTGAGTCGTCTGTATACAGAATCTCTTGGCCAAACAACATTTGTTTGCCTTAGATTCGATACCAGAACTCTCTCAATATCCTAATTCAGATATTTGATTCGAGACAACAATTGCACAATCAAAACTCTGAATTCTGGATTGTCATCAAGCTTGGTCTTATGTGAGGCTTTGATTCCTATTCTGATAATTGATCTGACACAACGATTGTTCGATCAAAAACTTGAATTTTCGGAATCCCGGATTGTCCGAGGTCCAGACCGACCGGTCCAGCCTGTGGACCGATCGGTCTGACCACCTCAGACCGTTCTGCGTTATTCGGTCCTGGTCCGAGACGCAGACCGGTCGGTCCAACATTTGGACCGATCGGTCTGGACCTATTCGGACCGAACGGACTGATCTCTGGTCTAATGTCCAAGACTGGACGGTCCAACCTTTGGACTGATCGGTCCAGACTCTTAGACTGAGTGCAGACCGATCCTGAAGACCGAACGTTCCATCAGACCCAGACCGTTCGGTCCGAATACCAGACCGGTCGGTCTGACGAACGTTATCTGAACTCCTCTTAAAGTCATCGGTCCAGACCGGTCGGTCCAACCTTTGGACCGATCGGTCTGACCTAATTTGACCTAAAAGGAATAGCCGTCGTCACGTATAGACCGATCGGTCTACTATCTAGACCGGTCGGTCCACGCGATGGACATACTTCGGATCTCGGTTTCGGGTCCCGAAAACTAGGGTTTTCACCCTCGTTTCGACGCACCGTCAAGCCTCCCATGAACCTCGCTCATCCATGCATCATTCAACAATCAAAATCATCAAACAAGCATAGATCTCATGTTTACATGCATTCTAACCATTAAAACCATGAAAAACATGCAAAGATCTATAGTCTACATGCATTCTAACAATTAAAACCATGCAAACCTGCAAAGATCTATTGTTTACATGAACTTTAACAATTAAAATCATGCAAACAAGCAACAGGCACGACGATATACAGAGAAACCAGGCTCTGATACCACTGTTGGGTTCCCTTCGGGTTCCTAGCATGCGATCTCATCGATCTAGGGTTTGGATTCTAGGTTTCACGCAGCGGAAGGAAAGATCTAAACCTAGCCAAACGTCACACAAAACCAATTGTGCAATAACCCGAACAATCGTGTATATCATCGTGGGATTCGAATACTTACCTCGTTCTTTCAATATCTGGAAGTATCAATCGATCCAGGGCCTGTTTTAATCACCAAGAGTTGAAAGCACAACTCCTATACACGTATCTACACCGGCGGGATGAATTCCAACACTTTGGAACGTATTTGTTAGGATTTGTGAAGAGAAAACGATGTCCTTGACTTGGAATCGATATTCCAATCACTAGAACTCAAAATCAAGCTTCTCTAAGCTCTAATGAGTGTCTTGGACGTCTTAGGTTCGTTCTCTAGGGTTTGTGGCGGCTCTCTCATTAATTAGAATTGCCCAAAACCCTTAAAACGCGAAATAGAAAATCTGCCCGAAAATCGGACCGTCCGGTCTAGGTCTTGGACCGGACGGTCTGGCTTTCAACGCAGAACGGACGGTACGTAACTACTCATAGAACGGGCGGTCTGTACGTCTGGACCGTTCGGTCCAGGTCTGGACCAGACGGTCTGGTGCTTGCGGAACGATCGGTCCGTTCTTCAGCGGAACGGACGGACTGACATGGCTGGACCGTCCGATTCAGGGCTGGACCGGACGGACTGGCCGTCTGGAACACTTCCAGCTCGTTCTGTGGTTCCTTTCTCGCGTCGTTCTCTTCACGTGTGATCCATCCCTAATGGTGTGTGACCCTGTAGGCCCACTCGAAGTGGCAGTGGCTTCGGAACCCTTCCCCGAACCACAAGTCATGGTTAGCCTCTAGCAAGACGCCATGACCACCCACCTAGAATAGAGTTAGAGGTGATCTAACAAAGCCAGCAATAGTTCGAGTTCTGATCCTTTGTCTCACGATGTCGTATGTTGAACAAGGGCATGGTATGAGCCACCCTTCAAGTTCAGCCGCTTACTCGTCTAGGCAAACCGACTGATAAAATAGATGTACATTCATCTATAGCGTGGCCACGCATTTTCACAGTCCGATTTTCACGAAGGGCCCAATGAGCTAAGAACCTCGAGGCAGTGTGTATATTTTAATTGTTATTTATACTTTGCAATTCCATTTAGTCATGGTTAGTCTCTAGCAAGACGCCATGACCACCCACCTAGAATAGAGTTAGAGGTGATCTAACAAAGCCAGCAATAGTTCGAGTTCTGATCCTTTGTCTCACGATGTCGTATGTTGAACAAGGGCATGGTATGAGCCACCCTTCAAGTTCAACCGCTTACTCGTCTAGGCAAACCGACTGATAAAATAGATGTACATTCATCTATAGCGTGGCCACGCATTTTCACAGTCCGATTTTCACGAAGGGCCCAATGACATCTCTCCTGCGTAGGAGGTGACAAGTCCCGTATTGCATGTCTACTATCTGCATATGATTCGTGAACGTATCTGAGCAACGCCGTTATGATCATCCGGTTAAAGACGACGTTTGACGCAGTCAAGACCGTCACTCCTCATATCAGATAATCTAGACATCTCAGGTCTGAGGATCCAAGAACGAACCGCTGTATGAGATTCAAGTCATGACTCATGTCCATGTGACAATCTCATGTGGGTCATCCAGTAACTCGTTCCAAACGAGAACCCATGATTGTGATTTGCATCCAATGCACATGATCATAATCATCTATCACACATCATGTTGGTCTTAATTCATCATTGTTCCTACAATGATAACTGACCAGGGAGTTTAGAATCATCTGCAATGATTCAAGGATATTTACCGTAATATAACAAACATGCTGATCATATAACGGGAAAAGTAATGCATTCATAAACCAATGAATCAATACATAGTTAAAATGTCATATCACGGATCATCGTAGAGCATTACAACCAACACAAGAAAGATGACGAGTTATGGTTCGTGATGAACGGAGTCCCAATTAGGTATTCGCTGTGGGAACACGCTATTCTCTGTGGTTTAAATTGTTCTCCGTTGCCCGAGAATTGGGAGGACATTGGAGGGTTCGAATTCTACCGTAAATTCTTTGGTCAAGAGAGTTTTGAAAAGGTTATGAAAGCAGAAGTAATGAAGAAGTTTGGGGAATTGGTTGTAGATGACAGAGAGACCGATTGAAGATGGCTTATTTGTTGCTGCTCAGTTATGTCATTGGGCACCAACATTCGGAATACGTGAATCCATTTCTGTTGAAGATTGTCAACAATGTGGATGCATGCGAAAAATTCTCCTAGGGGACGTTCACGTTCAACAATGTTCATGAGTTTGTGGTGAACTATCTGAATAAACATCGGAAGCCGGCTAATCAGTGGAACTTACCAGGGTTTATAATTCCCCTCACGGTAAGGGTTTAGGGTTTACTAAACAAAATAAAGAGTTGTCAAGAAATACTTTATTAATGTTTTGTATTTGTTATAACAGATGTTGCCGTTCGAATGTATTCCCAAGGTTCATTCAGGCGGATGGTATAGTGAAGTCAGGGTGGAAGGAAATGTGAAACAATCATGTCCAAGGATGTGCCGACGATGTTTCATTCCGAAAAAGAAGTATGGAATCAGACAAGGTTTGACAAGGATTGGAAGGACGCAGGTCAGTTCCAAAAGAGTAGTAATAGTGTAGTCTGAAAAAATAGTGTTAGGGAAGTTGAAAAACAGTTGTGGTTTTTAGTCGTTTTCTTACTTGAGCATTTAATTTCAGGATATTGCGAGCATTCTAATTCCAGAGGAGGCTGAGAGCCATCTAGTTGTGCATTTGGAGACAATTGATAATGTTGATGAGGTGGTTGATAGTTGGATGGCGCATTTGGTTGAAGATGTGAAATCTGTGAAATGGAGAGATATACTCGAGGCTGATGTGAAATCTCACATCGAAGTACCAATGATGCAGATGCAGATGCAGAAGAAAAGGAAAGCAGCTGCTTCAACAAGAAATGTGGAAAAAAGAAGAAGAAGAAGCGAAAAAGGCAAAAGACAAGTGACTTATAAAGAAGAAGAAGAAGAAGAAGAAGACCAAGGCGATGGTCAAGATTTAACTTCTCAAGTCTCGCATTTGAAAGGGCAAGTTGGGTATCTGACTCGGAAGTTGGCTGAGACAGAAAAGAAATTGCAAAGTGCGATTGCAGTACAAGGTGAACAAATGAAGCAAGCGATTGAAGGTCAAGGTGAGTTTATGAAGAAAGTGATTGTGGTCGGTATGATCGCAGCGGGTAAGTACGACAATCCCTTTGAAGTTGAAGCTCGGTTGGATTACTTGATGAAGAAAATGACTGAGTTGACTGGGAATAAAAAGGCTGAGGGTTCGGCCAGGACTACGAGAACCCCTCCGGAAACATATGAAGAGGCTGTCGAAAAAGAAGGAGAAGGTGAGGAAGCAATGATGAAGAGTCTGAAAAGACAGAAAAAGAAAAAGAATATGAAGATGCGGGAAAAGAGGATGAAGAAATGGGACAAGAGGGGAAAGAGGTCGAGGGAATGGGAGAAGAGGCTGTTGCTGAAGGGGAGAAAGAGGCTGCAACAGAAGAGGGTTTAGAGGCTGAGAGAGTGGGAGAAGAGGCTGCAGCAGAAGAGGGTTTAGAGACTGAGAGAGTGGGAGAAGAGACTGAAACAGATGATGACGGAGGGGAGGCCGAGGAAGGTGGCGAGAGAGACTGAGAGAGTGGGAGAAGAGACTGAAACAGATGATGACGGAGGGGAGGCCGAGGAAGGTGCAGAGACTGTGAGGCCGAACAAACCAACTGACAGGTTATTACGAGTCAGAAAAACATCATCCAAAACAACGAGTCCATGGGCGGATACAATGAAGTCTATCAATTCGAAGGGTGGAATCATTAGATCGCGAGGAAGGGGAAGAATAGGTAGAGGTCGTGGGAGATTTGGATTAAGACGTATCCATGGGCGGATACAATGAAGTCTATCAATTTTATGAACTCAGTTTTCTGCGATTATGTCCTTGGTACCTAAACTCTTGAACTTTGTTTCGTAGACCTTTGAACTCAGTTTGTGGGTTGTATGTTTGTGTTATACTTGTGGATTATGGTCTTTTATGTTTGTGAGTAGTTTGTGAATTATGGTTGTTTGTACAATATTATTGTTTGTGAATTGTGACAGGTTTGGATTTGTAAAAAACTAAGTAAACCCTTGTTAAAAACAATCTATGAGAAGTCGTAAGTTAAGGCTATAGAAGTCGCAACAAACAAGTAATGTCAAAAAATATTATGTAAATTTTATAATCGTATAAACCATAGACAAAAAAAATCCATCAGATCAGAAAACTTTTCTGCGATGTGGTCTCCACCTCAGAAAAAAGTCAATATTTTAGCGCAGTGGACCCCACAGATGGAAAAAACATCGGGCAAAGTAACACAATTATGACAAGTGTGCCCATGATATTTTTAAACATTCGAAAAACCTTTTATTTAAGACTTAGTTGCATCCAATTTACTACTAATATATGACTCTATTACCACGTTGTTACGACTTCAGTTGGTCGTAAGTTTGAAAAAATGGTTTATTTGTCTAAAATTCGTCGAGAGATGAATGTGAAATATAAAAGTACGTGTAAATACATCATTAAATTGCACCCATTTAATATTTTAAGAACTTTTGAAATTTTGTACAAACATAATATGAAAGCAAGCCTATGTAGATATGAATGTGTAACTCTTACTTTGGAGAGAAAGTAATGAAATTTTCAAAATGTCATAAAATATGACCCCATAATGTCATGTTTTATCCTTAATTAGGATGTAATTATCACAACATTAACGAAACTCGTAATAATTTATGCAATTTTACCCACTTTCAAAAAGTATGTAACAATCGCAACAGAGTTACAAGCAAGTCGCAATTATCTGGTTTTGGTTTATAATAGGACAAAATCCAACGACCACATTGTCTACTTTTTGACTTTTTTTTGTGGGCCCCCGAAGACAGATTTTCACGGTTTTTAAAGAGTTTTCCATTGACTTTTCCCTCTTGCCAAACATACATATTATAAAAAGTGGCAATATAGTAGCGACAAAATAGTTCCAAAAAAGTTGTCCAGTTAAAAGATAGAAATATATAAACATGGTTTACATTTCATCCCGTAACTGCACCCGGACTTCGTAGTCTTTAGTCTTCATCCTCTTTGAATGTGCTTCATTCTCCTCCTCCGAATCACCTACCTTCAATCTCGATTTTCTCTTCTTTATTCGTTTTTCCCCCGCACTCTTTATACGATTCGTCATCGGGCGTCCAACACGTCGGTCTCTTATAGCAGGAGGATCGACTTTCAACTCCGCTATATGATCAGGAATTTCCCAATGAGAAATATCAGAAACTGGGTACACACTATCAGCATATGCCAATTCTCATGTGGCCCTCGTATAGTACGATGAACAATACTCAAGTAACTTTTCTTTGTCACAGTGCTCATGCAAAGCTTTTATCGCATGAGAACAAGGATATTTATCAACATCTCACATTTTGCAATCGCAACACTTCTTTCCAAGAATCAACGAAATACGTTTTCCCATTGTCCTCCGTCACTTCGTATTCTTTCCAATTGCGATTTATCTCTCGTATACTAAACGCTTTGGACGTTCTATACCGCCTATGTAACTCCTTATGAACTTCAGGCGTCAATTCATGTGCACACCACCCTTTGATGCAAGCACCCAAAGCAAGAAATGCATACTTAAAAGTTTGTCCATCTTCTTCAAATTGTATCTCCGTTATCGTACCCTCGTTTTTTTCCTTCAACATATGGAAATAACTCGGAAGCCTATTATAGTTTTCCACCGGATTCCCCCAAACAGCATTTTGAGCTTGTTTTCTTCCTCTCCATGCCGTTATGTAAGAAACCTTGCATTTATAAGCTTTGCTCACCAAAGACATCAACCTTTTCACTCTAGGAAGATCAACTTGTCCCGCAAAATGTCTTTTGAGATAAGCAACAACCATCTCTATTGTACCATTGTTTGTTTTCCCTTCTCTCTCTTGTGGTTGTAACAACGGTGTACATGTATGGACATTCACGTGCTTCATCACTCTAAAACACTCAGTTTTCTTTTTAACCACTGTTCGAACTTTCCACATACAACCTTGTCTTCGAAATCGACATCTTGCTTCCCATATATGTGATTCGGACTTGTATACATAATATTCAAAACATGCATCATGTGAAGCTTTCATTACCTTCATCTTTAGCTCTTTCTTACTGTCAAATTCCTTTCCCACCGTAAAACCCAATATGTCTTCAAACGAGAAACATTCGGTTCCACTTACACGTCTTCCACCATCATCTGCAACTTCAGTACCTAACTCTATTGCAACTTCAGTACCTAACTGTATTGTAACTGCATTCCCTAACTCCGTTGCAACTTCAGTAGCTACCTCT